TTCCATAAAATTATTAATATATTACTGTATGTCAAGAGTTAATTTGGTATTTTTTTTAGGATTAAAATCAGGAAACACTTGAAATATTTGGGCAAATTAAGTTTCTCATAAAGCTATTTAGTTTTTTCCACACATTGAGCAGAGGAAATTAGAACTTTGTGTTCTTATGAGCATATTTAAATCATCTTTGGTTGTGTGCTTATTTTGTGCAGGGGAAGGACATGTACCTGGTGCTGGAGAATAACATGCTGAACCTTGTAGACCCTATGGATCGCAGTGTGCTTCATTCCCAGCCTATTGCCAGTATCCGTGTGTGGGGTGTTGGCCGGGACAATGGCAGGTTAGTCACTTGTTCACCGAAATCTACTCTCTGCTCCATCTTTCAGTAATATTTTTTACTTTAAATGCAATTAACATTTAAAGTAAAAGTTCATGGTAACAATGAGGGCATGTGTAAAAATTGTAACCCAGTGGAGTTAATTAATGATGATAATGCCAGATTATTTAACAAAAGGTGCATATAACGTTGGCTTGTTGTTCAGTAGGGAAGATAATATAATAATCTAGACTCTGCGATTTCACTATACTGCATGTTTAACTGATGTGAACATTAGATTAAAGATAATGAAGCTTGGTGACCACAAGAGGGAGCTGTTGACTGCCTTAAACAAAAGCAAACCCCTAATGCTAGTTAACAGATGCTGCAGGATGATGTGAACCGAGGCTGAGGGAGAATTCCTTTATAACCACTTCATAATCATTTGATCTAAAATCCTTAAGCAGAATCAAGGAGACTTCAAATCCCTCTATCGTAATGAAGGTGTGTGTAATGCACATTGGCAGATAGGAGTGTTAGAGCACTGAGAATAGCTCAGCTGCAGCAGAAGGGGGGGCGGGGGGGCATGGTGATGGGACTGGAGGGAGAGAGGAAAGCTGTCAGAGGGGGAGGCATGGTTAGTCCTACCAGGGTGTGGATCAGACAGGTTAAAGGGAGTGTGGGAGCCTGCAGCATCGCTGGGAATCGACACACGATCACACTGAGATAGGAGAATAAACCTCTGTGAGTATATCTGATTCCTTTATTTTTTTAAGCTTGTGTTTTACCAAAAAGTAAAACAATACCTCAGAATGAAAGGGTCTCTGTAGAAGGTGTTACTGAGCAGATACTTCTGGTTTATGTTTCCATCATTAATCCATCATTAATCTGATGGATGCCTGTTAAGATAAGAAATCACTTAGCTTGGTTTAAATGGATGAAGAGCCTCGATTGTTCAATGTGATTAAACTCAAATAAGGCAAGTCTTTATATACATAAAAAAAATCATTTTTTATGAAAAATCATCATTCTCTTCTTCCTTTAGTACTTTTTTATAAGAAAAGCATTAAAATGTTGGCTTGTTTTTTGAAAATTTGGAGCAGAGTTGATTTTAATGTTTGAAAAAGGAGTTGCTGTAAAAGTTAGGTTGCTCTTTTTTTAATATAAGGACTAATTAATTAATTTAATTCTATTCAGTTTCTGTCTGTAGCACCACATTTGTCAGTAGTAGTCTAAACTTTTAACTTTCTTAAGTTTCTTAAATTAGCACTTAGTTCGGCTAGCCCTAGTCTCTCTGTGTACCAGGAATACAGATTCTTACTGTAATTTTTACATTTCCAAATAAAGAGAAACCAACATCTTCCTTTCTGAACCCTTATTACAGATGTGACATGTTGTGTATATATATATATATATATATATATATATATATATATATATATATATATATATATATATATATATAAATTCTCTCAATAAAGAAAATCTCTGGCTGTAGATTAATTCAGTGGTCTGTGGTTTCTCAGTATAACAGACCGATTTAAAGCTCCTGTCACAAAAGGCCACTAAAGACAAATATCTAAAGGTAATGTAAAGTTTCTGGGTAGGTCATGCAGGGCAGCCGCTGCTTTGACTCGCTGCACATGATTTCCCCGTTTTGTCCAAGCATAGTTCACCTTTCCTCCAATTTATCTATTCTCTGTCTCCTCCAGTAACAGGATCATTATCTGCTGTGACTTTCTGTCCTTGTATCGTTAGACTGAATATCTTTTAAAACCTTTCTTACAAAAGTTCATCATCAGTTCAAATTCTTTACTGGTGGGATGTGACAGGAGTTTATGATAAGCTGTTATAGATGACTACAGCTCAAGATGCTGTGACACATTTAAGTATGTAGAAACTGGCCACCATGTGGGGGGCTGAAGCTATTTACAGTAAAAAGATGATTTTGGGGGGTTTTACTTATGATTGAGCTGGAAATCCTCCTATTATGGTAAAAAACTGGTTTCTCACTGTATCTCTAATAGAACTTAATCTGCTGCAGGGATCTTCCTTTTCATTTCTCCCTCTCTGTCACACTCAGACTTACAGCTGTGGTGTTCTTTAGCAGTTTTTTTCATTGTGCAAGCAGCACCTCTGTTAGTGCTTATCTCTTCATGAGCTGTCAATCATCCTGTTATCACTGCTCGAATACAGATTCCCTCAGCAACCAGGTGTTGATGCGATTATCACGCCATACTTGAGATGAGCCATCGCTCCCAGCTGCTCACCCTGTGTCTCCTCTCCTCTATTTTCTTGGACATCTGTCTTCTATACTTCCTTTTTATCTGGACATGAGTTTGATATTTGCAACCTTGCCTTCAAGATTATTTCAAACACCTGAAGTCAAATATCTGGTCTGGGAGTGTCTGCTTTACTGTGTAGAATTGTTTACTACAGCGCCTTACAAAAATAATCACACCCTTGAACAGTTTGAAGGTGTTTTAGCGTCATCCCTATCACCCCTACCAGCATAAGGTAGGGGGTGGTTTTAAAGGGAAAGTGGACGTTTCATTTGATTAGAATGTTTTTATTCCACAGAATCTAAAAAGTGTGGAGTAGGGCTGGGCAATCACTGCATTTGCAGTTTGATTGCATTTTACATATCGTAATTTTCTAATTTCAGAGGCACTCAATTAACTCGCAATAAACTTAACAGGAGTAAAAAATTAGGTGTGTTTCCATTAATTTGCTAAATGGACTGCATTTTTTATGCTTTGAGGTGGGTTGAATATCGTATTGGTATTCTTATATTTCATAAAAATACAGTGCAGACACTTTGTTCTCATCACAGGAGTTACATGATCTGCAGCTGGACCTTACCTTCCACGTCGCTGCCATGTTTTTTTTTTTACACCTATCACATGAACAAATTTATTCATGGACAATTTTAATTGTATTTGTTATTTAATGGAAGTACTGCAATTATAACAGTTTGATTTTCAAAACCAGCAGAAGATTGACATAGTTTGGCTTATATTTTTAGTGGAATTGCAGCTACTGGCTCTCTTACTTCATCCGCCACATAGAAGGGAAGAGAGAGTTGCAGTTAGTGTGCAGATCCATGCATGTGAATCACAGGGAGCAGATATTCTACCAAGACTAACTGAAAAGTCCTGCAACAATGGACTATAGACAAGCAAGCTTTCCAGGTCACGAAAACAATGAAACCCTAGAGGGCAACATCTACATGCTCATTGTTTGTGCAAAGGAAAATCCATATAAAATCCTAATTTTGGTAGAAAAATAATAATTTTTTTGGCAAGTTTTCCAGTCCTGGTGTATTGCACATCTAAAAGCAAAGTTCTCATGAACAAACATGGTGGCCACAGCATTATGTTGTGGGACTGCTTTTCTTGCTTAGACACAGGGAAGCTGGTCTGAGTAGATGTTGGGATTGGCAGTATGTTCTCCTTTAGCTGTAGTAAACCATTCTTATGTGACCTCTGAATCTATAAGCATATAATCAGTAGTCAATTAGCAAATGCCAGGAATGAAGCTTAAGAAAGGAATGACGCTTCAGCGTAAATTCAATCTGGAGGATTTATCAGCTTCCCTGAACCACCTGCAATGTTGCTTGCTCAGGTCCAGCCAATTAACTCGGGGAGCCGCACCTTCTCCAAAGCCAATCCCCTTGCAAGATCTCCTTCATTTAGGTCCCGGCCCACCTTCTCTCTTCTCCACACAAGCAAACTTTCCCCCACCTCCACCCCATCTCCTCCCTCATTCTCAGTCCCTCTCATCCTCTGGCTTATTCCACCACCAGTGTCCGGGTCCCCGGTAAATACTACTCTAATCCTTTTCTAGGTTACTCATTCAAGCATATTTTGATTCACAGCATCAAAGTCTTCTGTTGGGGCCCAAGTACCAAAGAACTTATTTTATTTATGTCTTTATCTGCTTCAATCTCCTTGAACCCCAGTCGACCTCTGCAGATCACACTGAGCCAGGTTCTTCTGGACGTTTTTTCCTGTTAAAAGGGAGTTTTCCTCTCCACTGTTGCTACATGCATGCTTGGTGTGAGAAATTGCAGAGTGTCTCGGAGTCCTCACAATAAGCTGGTTTTCCTTGGATAGAAATAATTTTAAGAATATGATTGTGTTACCTGTATAAATAACTTTAATATTTTCCAATTGCAAGTTTTGTCTGTGTGAGTCTCTGCAGGTTGAATTCGATTCTGTTCTACATTTGATTCTGTATTTTATGTTTATTTATCATATTTTGCATATGCTGTTATAAACAGTGTTGGGCACGTTACTTTGAAAAAGTAATTAGTTATAGTTACTTTCAACGCCGTTAGTCCCATCACTGGTTAAAAAGGCAAGCATTTATTTTTTAAACATCCCTCCTAGTTAGATGATCTGCTTCCCTCTGTTTCAACCAGTACATAAAAAAAAAAAAAAAAATCTGCAAACTCTCCCTGAACTCTTATTTCTTTGAGATTTCTTTCAGTTGTTCAGAGCATAAGAAGTGGCTGACCAGATGTGTGTGAGCTTGGCTTTCTGCAGCTTGTTTGCTTTTCTTTACTAACTGTCTTCCTTTCTCCCAATGCTTCCATGGATGCAGAGAGAGGTAAACACATTCCTTCCTTCCATCAGCAATCTTTGTAATGTCAGCTCATTGTTATTGTTTAATTTCCTCTATATGTCCTTTCTGTCTGATGTTCAATGTGTTTTTTTTTTTTCTTATTTCCTGTATCACCCTGCACAAATAAAAAGAAAGGTAGTAGAGGTGGTTTACCTCCTGCGTCCTTGATGGTCTACAAGTGTTTTTTATTCAGCGTGCAGACAGACAGGAACATTTGCAGGCGTGTCGGGATGTCTGTTTAAAGATCCTGTCAGATCTGAGGCCTGTGTGTCCCGTTCCACAGGATCTTTCTAAGATTGGTCCAGAATTATCTTCATTTGAAGACTCTTACTAAAGCTTTAATATTAAATTGAACTTGCTAACATTTGATCTAAACTGTAAAGCTTACACTTGTATTCAGAGATTATGTCTCTTGATTATGGGTCTTTAACCTTTTAAAGCCAATGAGCCATTTTGCCTTGAGTCCTTCTGAGTAGTTGTTTTGAACGATAAATATAACTGAATCTTTTTTTTTAAAACACATCTTATAATTTTTTGGTAGATAACTGATATGGGAAGTCTTTTGCTATTTCAAACAACCAACTGTTTATTTGTATCTCATGCTTTTAAAGTAAAGAGAAACATGTTGCGTTTCATAAAGATGAAGCATGGATTTTCTTCCATAGAATATTAGTTGATTGAAAAAAGAACAACTAAAAAAAAATTCCAAGCTAATGACAAGAAAGGTAGAGTAAAGCATATTTTTGATTATTTTTAAATCATTCTGTTATGAAAATTCTATCAAATATTCTATAAAAAAATCACCCTGCAAAATCTTCTAAGGCAAAAATCTACTATGTTGTTCTTCTACATTAGTTACTTCTTTATATGATTTTATTCCACTATTAAGAGCCATTTTTTGCTCCAAAGCCGCAGGTTGCAGCCCCCTACTCTAGATTAAATCCAGTGAAACTAGTTAGACCATCAGAAGTCCTCCTAATGCGTAGTATGTAGTGTTTGCCATCTATTGTTATGCTGATTACAGCTGTTCTGTGAAGGTCTCAGGAGTGTGCTGTAGATAAAATGTGTTAACAAACATGAAGGTCCAACTGAATTAAAAAACTTTAATCAGAAAGGTAGCTAAGAGGCAAACTGTGGAGCCGCACAGATCCATGGCTTAATGAGGGAAATCTTTTAGTCTCATATTTAGTCTGTAATGAGCCATGAAATGTACAAAGTTTAAAGGTTTTCTGGTAAAAAAATAAAATAAAAAAAAATAACTTTTTAACCTACATGTAGAAATGGCATTTATGCAAAACTAACTACTGCATAGAGGTGGGGGCATCATGATATGGGAATGTGATCAGAGTCAACCTAAATACAGGGCAGTCCTGAAAACCTGCCCGAGACTGCAAAACACTAGACTAATGCGGAAGAAGAAAAAGAAAATGGCCGAGTCAAAGTATGGACACAGCTAATGTAAAGCATAACTAGAAAAAAGATTAGAATAATGATGCTAGATCAGTAATTTATCCAGAAATTCAAACTGT